TCCCGATTGTTTGTTGTCTGGTGATTTGGTGTGGAACTAAGTGGTCCTGTTTGTAGCAAATTCTTCCCCGACACACCTCTGCCCTATCTGACCCAACCCTGTCACTCCCTAAACCTATCATTCTCCAAAACACAAACTCATACAAAATGTAAAGCCTGGTCCCGACCACCTCAATCCATCCGCAGTTTTTATTGATATCATTACACCCCCAAACCCCCCGACCTCACCTCATATCGTTTTACTCCCGCAGGTCCTTCTCCCTACACCGCAAGCCGCTAAAACTGTTCGAAGTCGATGAAGTGAAAATATGACCTCAGACCGAACTTTATAAATTAATCTCTCTGTTCAACTAAATTTTCACTCTTTTCTTCTCCTTCGATTATATCTATTTTCCTTTTTGCTTTCACTCCCCCCCCACTCTCTCTCTCTCTCTCTCTCTCTCTCTCACAACTTCCCTTTTATACTGTGCTTTGTTTTATTTCTTTCCTTTGTATACCTTCTTTCATCTCTCTTCCTTTTGTCTTCATTACGTTTTCACCTTCAGCCTCCCCTTTTAAAACATCTTTTGGTTCTTACTCCAACTCCTTTCAACATTCTTCCCTTTGCTCTTCTTTCTCCCTCTCTCATTCCCCCTCTCTCATTTATTTTTATTCTCTCCTTCTCATATTTGCTTCCAGTATTAGTTTCAGATGTTTTGGGAGATAAAAGCTACTTTCTGTAAAATTGAAAATATAATCAAGTCTCCACCTGATTAAAGTTTCGCCCGAATGTAACGCTTCAGTCAAACTTTCTTAAAATTTCATCTTTTTTCTTCCAATGAAAGGAGCATTCAGATTAAGACTAGAATAATTTTTCTGAAGGGAAATAGAAAAAAATACAACGAGATATATTTCAAGTAGTTTAATACATAGAAAAAAGTGCGGTCCTTTACCGAGCTAGTAACATGGATTTATTTTTGTATCTCAAATCAGTTATATAATGTAATGAGCAATGACTGAGGATTGACACTGGAGAATATTGGTATGTTGGATGTTGATCCATTTAAGCTTCTAACTCGGCTGAATGCATGTGGAATTGCAAAATTAAGGTTATGTTGAGATTTTTATATTGCCGTCACAGATGAACTCGCGTAGGAACAGCAATATGTCGTGTAAAGGAGTTATAACTCTGAGTAAATAATTATAAACCTCCTAACATTTATATATCCAAAAATACTTATAAATTTGAGAAACAACAAGACGTGGAAACGACAAAACGTGTATTATTTATTATCTGGTTGTTACGTAGTGTTGGAGACACAAGAGAAAGTAATATTGAGTAACATTTTGAGTTTGGATCAATTATGGATCGGAATCCGACAGAATAAGATAACAAGTAAATAAAGTGTACACAGTCTTTCTCGTGTGTTTGTTACCTTTTTTCTTTTTATTTTTTAAGGCAATTCACCCCAAGGCAGGAGGGCCACTAGCACGCAAACGGTTACAGAGGATTGAGAACAAGATTAAAGAGACGTGTTTGAGTAAAGGATACAGCGAAGGACGGGGAACAAGCGCAGGATATCAGATGTCGATTGACATTAGACTTGAATATTTGAAGATTATAGTCATCGGGGAAGCAAGTAAGGGGAAGGGAGTTCTACAGACGGGAAGTGCGGGACGATAAGCTGTTTGAGAAGAAGAAACGGTTACATTTAACCGTTTTGACATTGAAAGGGTGGGACCGAGATGCCAGCCTAGTAGCTCGTTTAAATTCATATAGTCCGGGAACCAGCCAAAGTAGCTCGTCGGAATAGTTGCCGTGAAAATATTTGTAGAATAGACAGAGGGAGGTCATGGCAATTCTGTGGGATAGCGATTGTAGACTAGATGCCAGATCAGGAACTATCATCTTGCATATTCGTCTCTGGATTTTGTCAAGGACCTCGAGACGTATAGTGGAAGCACCAGACCCTATAGGACAGCAATATTCCATGCAAGGACGAATGGTTGATTTATAGATTTGAATGATGGACTCAGACGAGAAAAACTTTATGTGTGCAATGAGTGTTCAGATAATTTAGTCGGAAAATACAAGAAATTTTTTAGATTTTCTTACCTCGAATTTTTGTAAAGTGCTAAAAGATAAATGTAACTATTATGGCCTGAAAAAGAAAAAGGAACCGAAATTTTCGTTGAAGCACGTATTAACGGCCTGTCCGTCTTGACTGCATGTCCGATAGTGAGAAGCTTACGTGTGTGTGTAGAGGAGAAAAGTGGGGTCGATTCTCGGTGGTTTAGAATGAGTGAATTAATGATAATTATAATTGCTATAATTATTTTATTATACTTATTTATGAAAATATAATTAATTTTTATTTATTTATCTTTGCCTATATAAATGTTAGGAGTTTATAATTATTTACTCAGAGTTATAACTCCCCTACGATCGGATACACAGTACACTCGTTCTTCTTTTAATCAGGTTGATTTTATGAGTTGCACGAATGAGCGGCAGCAATAGGTTTGCCAAACTCCCTAAAATGAAAATGCGAGACGCAGGGTTGTAGTTTACCAACCAGAAGGCTACGAAACCTTCCGCTCACAGGCCTTACTGCCGGATGTAGTTTATCGTCATACCCAGAACGGTTGGTATTTTTTATAGGAATTCATTATCATTGAAGAATTTTATGCGCCCAACTCTACGGAAAGCTAATCCTAGTTTCAAAGAAGATAACATTCGGAAGGATGAAGTTTGCCAGACATTGGTTACGCCACCCAGAGGAAATTGCATCAAAACTTGTTTTTATAGCAACCATCTACAATATGAAAGAGGAGGAGCCGGAGAAACATAACGTTCCCAGATACACGTATGCAAAATAATGGCATGGAAAATCGGAATGAATTCAATTTTGCAAGCGGAGACTCAGCAAATAGTTTTAGTCTTCCTTCTCGAAATACTATCAACACACTACCGTCTGCGTAGCGTATTTTATTAATAAATCTTTGTAGGTACTTTAATTCTTCCAGAATCGTCTTACTGGACAACTGAAAAAAAAAAAGAGTTGTCGCTCCCCACTTTCTATTTTGGTGTACTTAATTCGTCATCTATTCACATACAAAGCGTTTGTTCCCAATATACATTATACGATTATTTGTATATCCTTTTTTATTTTATGTAAGCTTACCATATATCCCAATTTGACCTTTTCCGTTGTATAAGCTATCAGTTATTTATTTAGTCAAACCTGGGGTTTAAGCGGGTGGTGGGTCATGAAAACTAAACCTAAAAAAAATGAATAAATGAAAAATAAACAAAACACTCCTAAGATTTGGAAACTGTGATAAGCCTACAAAAAAGTGGTGATTATGTGTGTGTTCAAGGCAATTCTTGTTGTGGAGTCGATATGGAAAATATGATATTGATATGAACGCATAACCCACGTGCTAAGGAAAAAAACAACAACAAAAAACAACAAAAAAACAAAACAAAACAAAACAAATGATTATTGTTTTTTTCTTTTATTTCTGTTGTATACACATCTGGCTCACATCTAGGGACCTAAGGTCAGAAATGGCTTCATGACATTTTCCACTAATCATTTTTTGTAAATAAAAAAAAACCCCAAAAAAACCCCAAGATCAAACATATTTTAGATAAAGCTCTTCGTAATGTGTGAGTTGTACTTGTGAGTACATTTTTTTTGTATTTTTTATGGCAGAAATTATCAGGAATCCTTTCAATGACTATCGGACCTTTTCCCAAACAATCTAAGGTGGTACAATTTTTTTTTGCACTTCTGCTAGATAGGAGGCGTTCAGAAATATCAGAAAATTAATGCAAACTTTTTTTTTTTCCTTAAAGCGTATTGGGTTATAAAAGCCCTTTATTATGAAAGAACACTAAAAATAAAAATAAAAAAGATAAAAAAAAACCCGGATTAAGGATCGGAAATTATGGCAAGAATATTTCTATGTAGTTCAAGCTTTTTGTAATATTTCCTGTTCTTCATGTTATAACTTATCAACAGCAATTAGGTAATAATATACGTTATCGCTTAAGATAGCTTCTGTTTCGTACCGTTTTCACTACATATGAGAATTTCTAAAGTATTTGATTGAAATAAACAAATAAAGACAAATTAAAAGTCAGGCTGGCGATAGCGATGAATGGAGTCGGACAGAACGCTCATAAGCCGGGCGCCTGATCTCTCTAGATGAAGTCAACGCATAACAGACTCATCTCGTCATCCAGACTATAACAGAACGTCGAAAAAGTAGGATCTTTTTAGACTAATTTTACGGCTCTCTTCGGGGTCCGTAATGAAATAGCTGCATTGCATACTGCACAGCCGGGGGGGGTTGTCGCGCCATTGGTGTAAAGGACGGAAATAGATGGCCCGCTAATCTAGAACAAAGGTTCCCAAAGTGGTATATATTGACCCCTGGGGATCCATAGGACTATCTAGTGGCTCGATGACTATATTAGGCTGGCTAAAATAAATACGTAGTTTGGAATGGGAAACTCAAAACACCGAATCTCAAAAGATGAACTCATTGATACATTTGTGGATCTCGAAGCTAATTCATCGTTCAAAAGTAAATGAGGCACCCAGTGAGGATTGAACTCAGAAATGATTTTCTAAAGGTAGCTTAGATGTGGCACAAGGCCGAAAGTATAGGGCACCTATTGAGGAAAGAACTCACTTTTCAGTCGTAACTGATCTGGCGAGACAAGCTTGCTAACCATTAAACCACGTGCCTAAATGATTTTCTAAGTGTAGCTTAGATGTGGCACAAGGCCGAAAGTATGGAGCACCCACTGATGATCGAACTCACTACTCAGTTGTAATTGTTTTAGCGAAACAAGCTTTCTAACAATTACACCACGTCGCGATGCCTCATCCGTTTCACTGATGTCAATAAATTCAGTGAACAGGTATATTAATTTATTTGTAATTAGTTGTCGCCGTCGTTATCATAATTACTACTACAACAAACGTGTCTCGTATAGAAATATTTGGCTTGCGACCACATCACGTTCAAACACGGTTTTCCGTACGGTCACCGAAGTTAAGCAACGTCGAGCCTAGTCAATACCTAGATGGGTGACCGTTTGGGAATACCAGGTTCTGTCAGCTTGAATGTGCGGGCGATGTAATGAATAATGGTTCGGAATTGTTAATCTGTGAGCAGAGTTCCAATTTCCGTTCGGTTCGTTATATTCACTTACGCACAAATACCGTTGAGAAAGGTATGAATCTATTTCTTCCAAACCCCCCACCCCACCCAGTTATGGGTTAATAAAACTTGTATCATTAAATCATTATTATAAAAAAATAGATAAATCTTACAACCTCAAAACTATTTTCTGGCTTTAAATGGGTTGATAAGCCGTAAAAAATGTATGGAGATAGGGAATTGAAACAAGAAGAACAACGCGCTAAAATGAATCTTTTCGAGAAACAATAATGAAAGAAAAGGACTTAGGAATTTCTACCCTTAACTTAAATAATTATTGTTTTTTTTTCATGCCTGGAGATCGATGATTTTGTAGTGATCAATAGACTGTAAGGATTAATGACCCCTAATGTAAAAAGAAAACCGGATCTTGTCAAGTTTAGCGAACCCACTCACTGTACGGTTTGCTATTCTTTACAAGATGATTGGGTTCGTTATTCTTTACATGAGAGTAATCGGGTTCACTGTTCTAGACACGTACATTTTGGTGCAAGTAACTTTAAGGTACAATAGTTGTTGTCACATACTGGTTTTAATTTATTAATTCAAATATCTAGGAACCCTCAAGATGGATAGATCTACGTTCAACGGAGGTTGTGAAGCTATTACTTTGGGAGTATAGCTTACCAGTGATTGACTTGATGAAGAACAAAGCACTTATTCGACTGGAATTAAAATGTCGATCATGTAATACATTTATGAATTGGGCAAAGTGCAGTGACTCTCTGGACGGTTATGTGTGGAAGTACCAAATGAAAGACTGTTCAAGGTACAAAAGAAATGTAACATTAAAGAAAGATTCATTTTTTGCTAAATCTAAACGAAATATAATTGGGGTTCTATAATGCAATCACCATACAATATCCTTTCAATAACTAAGTTATTTTAGCTGTTTTTTTTTTCATGTAAAGGGTTCGCTGATCTCGCCATGGGGAGAATTGGGTTCGCTATTCTTTACATGGGGACAATTGGGTTCGCTAATCTGGACATAGGGATAATTGGGTTCGCTATTCTCTACATGGGGATAATTGGGTTCGCTATTCTCTACATGGGGATAATTGGGTTCGCTTATCTTGCCATGGAGATACTTGGGTTCGCTAATCTTCCTATGAGGATAATTGGGTTCGCTATTCTTTACAAGGGGATAATTGGGTTCGCTAATCTTGACATGGAGATAATTGGGTTCGTTAAACTTGACATGGGGATAATTGGGTTCGCTAATCTTGACATGGGGATAATTGGGTTAGGTAATCTTGACATGGGGATACTTGAGTTCGCTAATTTTTCCATGGATATAATTGGGTTCGATATTCTCTACAAGGGGATAATTTGGTTCGCTACTCTTGACATGGAGATAATTGGGTTCGCTAATCTTGACATGGGGATAATTGGGTTCGCTAATCTGGATATGGAGATAATTTGGTTCGCTATTCTCTACAAGGGGATAATTGGGTTCGCTATTCTTTACATGGGGATAATTGGTTTCGCTAATTTTGAGATGGAGATAATTGGGTTCGTTAAACTTGACATGGGGATAATTGGGTTCGCTAATCTTGACATGGGGATAATTGGTTTCGCTAATCTCCCCATGGAGATAGTTGGGTTCGCTATTCTTTACAAGGGGATAATTGGGTTCGCTAATCTGGACGTGATGATAATTGGGTTCGCTAATCTTGACATGGAGATAATTGGTTTCGCTAATCTTGATATGGGGATAATTGGGTTCGCTAATCTTCCCATGGAGATAGTTGGGTTCGCTATGCTTTACTAGGGGATAATTGGGTTCGCTAATCTTGACATGGAGATAATTGGGTTCCCTAATCTTGACATGGTGATAATTGGGTTCGCTAATCTTAATATGGGGATAATTGGGTTCGCTAATCTGGACATGGAGATAATTTGGTTCGCTATTCTTTACATGTGGATAATTGGGTTCGCTAATCTTGACATGGTGATAATTGGGTTCGCTACGCTTGACATGGGGATAACTGGGTTCGCTAATCTTGACAAGATCCAAAACTCTTTGTAAGAAAAAAGATAGCCAATGGTTTTGTGTGTGTTGAAAAAAATAAAGTTGCATTTGCTGATCTTGAAGTAAATTTAAATTACATTAAAGATTAATCACCATTCGATTTTATTTACATTTTTAAAAATACTACAGGTTTTGGGATATGTTAAATTCGTTTTACTTGACAAAAAAGAAAAAGAAAAGAAAAAGCTTTTAATTTAAGACAAGTTTGATGTAACAACTTTTACTTTAAATAAAAAGTTATTTCCCACTACACAAATTCAAAATGTAAAAACTATTTTAATGTGGAAGACCGTAACCCCTCCAATAAGCTACATGATCCAAGGTTACTATATAAGCCATATGATCCAAACTTACTATATAAACCACATGATCCAAGCTTACTATATTCTGTGGGTTATCCAGAAATTGAGTTCTTCATTTGGCCATTACCGCAGACATTAAGACACGCCTCCAACGCTACCCTTCTTAGTGCAATGAAGAAGTGGGATGGAGCTCCTGTCACTAGGCTTCACTAATTTCTTTTCCTGAAAAGACAATATGAGTAACAACCATATATGTTTTCAGGGCTTATTGGTTGAGGTCATAGTTAGGCATTTTCGACTGGTGTCCGTAGTTAGTATTTAAAAGGTCAGAACAAAAGCCAGCATCTTTAATAATGATTTTTCAATGTTCTTCGTATTTGAAAAGCTGGCTTAATTTAGGAAATTCATGATCCCGATATAAAAGGCTGAGGAAAGGGGCTGTCGTAATATTACATCCCCTGATTGTTCGCCTTATTTTTATCTATTGATTTATAGAGGCGGTTGTATATAACTGACACTTTAGATATTTCTGAACGAGTTTAGCGCCATACATGACATCCATATGAAAAACTCGAGCTGACGAGGAGTTTTATGAAAACAACCCTAGTTTTTAAGTTAATGTTTTGATCTTGTAGCAATTTCTGGTTTTGTGCGAAACTATCCCTAAGACAGCCTATTCTCTGTTTAATTTTCCTATTTCAAAGTTATAAAAGTTAAAAAAGATATCACACCTGGGGCCTTAGGGAAATTACGGGGATTCTCCACCGACTTCCTGTCAAGGAAGGTTACTTTGAATAACGAACCCAAGAGGGAATTTTTCTCAGTAGGTATGTCCCTCTCCTGCCTGTTTATTTGGCAGATTTTGTTTCCCCTGTGGGGAAATGTTTTTTTTTTTTCCTTTTTCTCTTTGGATGGGTTGGAAAGGGTGGAAGTAGATGAACGGAGCCGTAGAAGGGGAAGCGAAGTGGGGTAGTATCTTCAACATAATAATCAAGGGGGTTGCAGTGTGGGGTGTTAAGTGGCCAGAATAATAGCTATGACTGTGTTTTCCTGCTTGTGTGACATGGTGTAGAGTCTTGTTGCCAGATATAGTTTCTTCCAGCAGTCACCCTCTTGACCAAGGGCAGCACTACTTCAAAGCACTTGATGTAGGCCTGCGTGTTGAGTCTGAGGGCCTTACTAACACATTCGGGAGTTCTTTTCTTATTAGAACGAACACAGTGAGTTTCCTGAGCTGCAGCACCTTCGTAATCACCATTGCACTCATCCAACTCTTCCCAAATCCTCTGTCACCCAAATCACTGTCACCCAAACACTCTGAAACGTTCGTATTGGAGCTTCCGGTGTTAATACCAAGCAGTATAACATACCGTTTCCAAATTTCTGGTCAAGTGATATGCGTCATGGTGTTCTTTTTCTCACAGACAGGTGCTCTACTGCCCCTACTATACTGTGCAGTTGACAAAATCGAAAGTAAACTACGCGCATGCGTGAAATTAAAAATATAAAATGTCGACAATTTACCCATCGCACCCTCTATATACAAAGTGCCATAAAAAGCTGCGTCTTAAATGCCGAATTAATTTTGGGGATTTCAGTTTCTAGTTTATCTGGATATATATATATATATATATATATATATATATATATATATATATATGTGTGTGTGTGTGTGTGTGTGTGTGTGTGTGTGTGTGTGTGTGTATTGCGTATAGATATGAATAAAACTTAGCAACTCAAATAGGTGTATCCACAAAAAATAACGTTTATATTAAAGAAATAATGTCGGATAAAAACTTCATTCAAACATCACGGCACATCCGCACTGACACACATACGCGCGCGCGCGCACACACACACATACACACACACACACACACATATATATATATATATATGTATATACAGTACATACAAGGTGCGGCAGAAATACCTCCGGCGAATACCATACAGTAATACCTCCAATATAATGGTTAGATATTAGCTACATTGAAACAACATTGCCACTAACCTCTTACCATTATGTGGGAGGTATTTCTGTGAGGTAATGTGGGAAGTATTTTTGCCGCAGCCTATATAAAGTCCAAATTTGTAGATATTACATACACAGTGCTCAATGTAAGTTATGTAAAATATATTTTCCATACATTCATATATAGAGTCCGCCCCCAAAATGTATATACACTTCAAGAAAATAAAACCTTTCATAGTTTTATCAAATTGCGATAACACTCTTTACTGTAGTATTTTCTCGACAGATGGCATTACTCTCATTGCTGTAGCATCAACACGTCTTAAAAGATGTTATGTATCGTAGATCTTTATATTATATATATTATAAATGCATGGGCAGCATTCCCACTGAATACTTTGGCCAACGTTGCCGAAGCATTAGATCGCCGTACTAATAAATGTTTGTAAGCTAAAGACCACTATTTTCAGGATCTCTTGTAATTGTAAAGTCTAAAGGTAACTTGCATTAATCTTGTGATGTCTAAATAAATTTAGTATTACTATTATTATTATTATTTTATAGAAGTTTTTCCTGTCCTGAAATGTGTATATATTTTTTGGTGAACTTTCTCTCTCGCTCCCTCTCTTTCTCTCTCTCTCTCTCTCTCTCTCTCTCTCTCTCTCTATATATATATATATATATATATATATATATATATATAATTATTTATTTAAAAATATGATTCAACTCGCGACATAAGAGGTCTCATGTTTCAAAACAAGAGCCGAAAACTTCAATATAATTATTTGAATTAAATTGAATTAAAGTAAGCTCTGTTCCATCTTCAAGCGAAATTTTAAAAAATTTCGCTTGAAGATGGAACAGAGCTATTTAATTCAAATAATTATATTGAAGTTTTCGGCTCTTGTTTTGAAACATGAGACCTCTTATGTCGCGAGTTGGAATCATATTTTTAAATAAATAATTATATTTATGCTCTACTTTTGTATCGAGCACTATTTTTTAAAAATAATAACAAAAATACTAAGGAAGCTTGGATTATTTACCTAACCAGTTCTTTCCTATTTTCTATATATTTTCACACACACACACATATATATAGGCTGCGATGGGTAAATCGTCGCCATTTTATATTTCTTATTTCACGCATGTGCGTTGTTTGTTTTTGATTTCGTCGACTACACAGTCTAGTAGGATCAGTTGGGTATCGTTTGTGAGAAAAAAAAGCACCATGACGAATTCCACTCCGCCAGAAATTTGGAAAATGACATGCTGTACCGCTTGGCATTCTCGCCGGAAGTTCCAATACGAATTTTTTGTGCAGAGGATTCAGAAAGTGTTGGATAAGTCTAATAGTGATTACGAAGGTGTTTGGATTGGTCACTAGCGATGGCGACGTTATACGTCCATTCATCTACCCATAGGCCTTAGACCAAACACGGGGGCCTACATTATGTGCCTTGAGGGGGTAGTGTTTCCCTGAGTTAAGTCGGTGCCTACTGGAAAACTCCTTGCAACACCAAAGATGAATTTAAGGCAAGAATTATGGCAGCATTCACCAACCTAAACAAGGAAACCGTCCACAAGGGATACAGAAGATTCCGAAGTCGTCTGATGGCTCGGGTTGAAGCCAATGACGATTATATTGAATAAATTTACTATTTAACTATTTCAAGATATTTTTGTGTAATTTTGGTAACTATATCGGTTAAAAAGATACACACACACACACACACGCACACACACACACATATATATATATAGTACGATTCGTGAGGGAGGCAAATTTTCTTTATGAAGAATTTGGATCTTTAGGTCATGAGATATTTATTTAACTCTTTTAAAAAATCAGGGATGTCTATTCAAGCACTCTGTAAATATGATGTTTACAGTAATAACACACACACACACACACACAGATATATATATATATATATATATATATATATATATATATATATATATATATATATATATATGTGTGTGTACGTATATCAGATTGCTCTATGAGTGCTATTGTTACGATGTAACCCAGTACTACCTAATGCATCGCCAGATTATCAATGGCTAAACTGGTCGAGGAGTGTAACTAGACACCCAAAAAGATTAAAAACAAGACCTGTCGAAAAGGCGAATGAATTTTTTTCGGGGTCAACGGCCATCTATCACCGACCTACTGGGAATATTGGACTCCTTAGTCTTTGTTGAGGTATTCAATTTGAAGAAGGAATACTCAGACATCACACCTGCGGTTCAATAGTAATCGATCTTGTAGAGTGGTTTTCAGCCAATCCACCATCTTTTCCCAATATAAATAATTTCATGTTCGTTGGTTGCTTCTTTTTTGGTGCGTGTGTGTGTGTGTGTTTAGCAGCATATCAACCTCTATGGATTATTTAATACTGAACTCTAAATATACTGTACGCAGTTTTATTTTATTTTATTTATCTTTTGGAGTTAGTAATGGTTTTAGTGATACAAGTCTTACTAATTAACCTATAGCTGGAGGAAGAAGAGGTGGATTCCTACATTTCCTAAGGGTATTTTCGCGTAAGTGAACATCACGAACTAAAATGGCATTGCAACTCGGCTCTCTGATTAACGATTCCGATTCGTTACACAATCCACATATCCAAGCTTACAACACCTAGTATTCCCAAGTCGTCAACCATCTGGGTACTGACCTGGCTCAATGCTGCTTAACTTCGGTGATCGTACGTGAACCGGTGTTTGAACCTGTAGTGGCTCGTGTGAGTCACTGCTTGGTCAAATATACCATACTCGATCAGAACACTATTTTAAAAAAAAATCTTGATTAATGTCGAGCGATGGCCATACTTGGATTTCGTTGGGCAGTCAATATGTATGTGTATGTATGTATGCACATATACACGTATGTGTGCCTAACATTCTCTTATGTCACCAGAAAAAAACAAAACAAAACAAAAAACGTTGTTACTAGAATTGAAAAGTTAATCCATTTCAAGAATCCAAAGGGTTAACGGTCACGGGTTGATCCAGCACATCTGATAGTATCTATACAAAAAAAAAACGTCTGACAGAAAATAGAGATAGAGTTCAATAAATATACGAAAATAGAAAGAGGTACAACGGAACCTCGGTTCATGAATTTAATCTCTATCTATAAAAGACAGGATGTGTGTGTGTGTGTGTGTGTGTGCGTGCGTGTGTTTGTGTTTCTGTGTGTGTGTAACGAATGTACGGCCGCAATTTTCGACGGATTTGCACCAAAATTTACATGCACATGCTCCAAATTAGCGGGAAGGCCAAGACTCCCATTGATAGTGGAAATAATCGATTTTTTCATGCTTCTACGGCAGTTTTCATGTAGTTTACGGCCATTTTCTACTAGCCAGACTGAGAGCCTATAGCTGGCTGCCACGAATGTTAACTAGCATGCTAGCATGCAAAAAAAATCGATAGCTGCATTCGTCACAAGTGGAAAAAAATTTAAATCTGCATGGCACTTTACTCCAATTGACACATTCGCTTGCTTAAACTCAACGTTGATTGTGATTCCGCAGAACTGGGTTGGGTGTGAAAAATATTTGTTGTTAACATTCTTTTTTCATTTGGTTTTTCCAGTTACGAGTCCTTTTTTAAAGCTGATCGTTTTGTGTTCATTTTGTTTAGTTCTTTTTTCGTAACAGATTTAATGTTTAGTATAGAGCTTAGAAAAAAATTCGCAGTGTGAGATAGGCATGTAGCAACATCAGCACGGCAAAGGGCAATCTTTTAAAAGCAAGGAAGAGCAAAAATATTTTAAGTTAAGTGATAGCGATTGCTGTATGATTTGTATGATTTTTGAATCAAGCATGGGCAACGCCGGGCCATGCTGCTAGTTCGTTCCTAAAGGCCTTTCGTAATCCGAAAAGTTTTTAAACCGAAAGTATTTTTTCCAATAGGAATAAATGTAGAGAAAAAAACTCACAGTACAATAAAATTGGAAAAGAAAAGCACGGCACAACACACGAATATATACAACTCGGCGGTCGATTCAGAAATGATTCTGTTCGGGTTAATTCGGTTCGGCAATGTTGTTCGAGAATCAAAATTTTGTTCGATAACCGAGGTATTTTCATGTCGAATTTTCTGTTCGAAAACCGATTTGTTCGACATGTGAGACGTTCGAGAACGGAGTTTCCACTCTATAAGACAAGTATGTTTCTTCTCATCTGACTTATTCAACCTATACAGTGAGGCGATATTGAGAGAATTAAAAGTCCTGAGAGGATTCATTATTGGCGACCACATTCTTAACGACATAAGATATGCAGATGACACACTGTTGGTAGAAGACGCAAAAAGGAAACTACAAGATCTCCTACAGAATATATTGAAAGAAAGCAAGAAGAATGGACTAAACATCAATTACAAGAAGACAGAATGCATGGTTGTTAGCAAAAGGAACAGCCCTAGAGGCATATTACACAATGGAGATGCAAGAATCAAACAAGTACAATTTAAATATTTAAAGTTTACAATAAATGCTTCACTACTTCTTGTTTTTATATGTTGGAAGTTCTCCGTTTTTATATGTTGGAAGTTCTCTGTTTTTATATGTTGAAAGTTTCTCCGAAAGTTCATGTCTTTAAGAGCTCCGAAGAACCATTTGACCTCTTGAATTATCACCCTATTAGTCTCTTACCACTTTTTGGCGAAGTATTAGATGCTCTAATCAACGCAGAATTGGTTAATCATCATACTTCACACGTCCTCTTTTTAGATAACCAATATAGCTTCCGTTTCTTTAGTTCTACTCCCGATATATTAACAGCCATCACTGAATTTGTCTGTCAAGCTTTAGATAAGATGTGGCTCTATATAAGGCGTTCGACACAAGAGCTACGATATCTCTTTGCCAATATTTGGCCTAATCCAGTCGTTCTTAACAAATCATGTAATGATGGTCGTGTTGACTGGACAGTTCATTTCATATAAATGCAAGGGTCACCCAGAGCTCTATCCTCGGACCTACGCTGTTTCTGATCTTAATCAACGGCCTTCCCGATGTCATTAGTTCCTGACTATGTATCTATGCAGATTAAACAAATATTTACTCCTGTCTTAGGAAGTCCTAAAGATCTGACAAAGTAAAAATGGCAACTTCTCTCGAAAAGGACATCCGGTCAGTGATTCACTGGAGGAAGGAATTTTAAGATTTCTCAATTTCTCGATTTCTCTGGTCGGAAGGTGTGTTAGGGGCTGAAATTCATTGGTGGCTTTTAACACAATACAGCGACAGGGCACTACTGCGTAGAAGTGCGTATGAGTCGATTGAGATGTGACCGGAGAAGCGCAAAGAAGAAGCAGAACGCTCGCCAACCTACACGAGTGACGAGAAGAGATGATAATGGCGAACCGGCGAATTATCGTCGATGAGGTATTATATTCTCAGCAGATTTGTATCACTGATCTTTGTTCCTCCTTGGTGCACACTGCTAGCGGAGCGGTCATGTTTACATAGTAACAGAAGAAAAACAAACTGGCGCGATCAAGATTAAACTCTGATCACGTGAGCGCAATAGTAAGAACTATAAGCATGCATTAGCAGAAGGCAGTGTGACAATACAGAGAGACAGGGTGCGATGGATAAATTGTCGTCCAAATTACGCAAAAATGAAAATAACACTGACATCACATTTTAACAGATATATTTGCCAAAATTACACAAAAATATCTTGGAATACTATAGAGTAAATTTATTCAATAAAATTGCCATCGGTTTCAACCACGGCCTCCACACGACTTCGGAATCTCCTGCATCTCTTATGGACAGTCTCCTTGTTTAGGTTGGTGAATGCTGCCATAATCCTTGCTTTCAATTGATCTTTGGTGTTACAAGGAGCTTTGTTGGTCAACAGCGCCCCACACATAATAATCAAAGTGATTTCAGTATGGGGAGTTAGGTGGCCAGATACAAGGGGTGTTGTGGTTGCAGAAATTGTCTGTCAGCTATGACCGAAGTTTTCCTGCTTGTGTAGCATGATGCAGAGTCCTGCTGCCAGACATAAGGTCTTCCAGCAGCCACCTTCTTAACTCAGGGCAGCACACTCTCTTCAAGGAACTGGATGTAGGCTTCCGTGTTGAGTTTGAGGCCCTGTGGGAGAATGAATGGAGACATAACGTCACTAACGCTAGTGATCACTCCAAACATCATCTTAATCTCCATTAGACTCATCCAACTATTTCCGAATCCTCTGTACGGTCCTCAGATTGACACCCACTCAGAAATGTTCGTATTGTAACTTCCGGTGAGAATGCCAAGCATTACAGCATGCCGTTTCAAAATTTCAGGCGGAGTGAATTGCAGCATGATAGTCTTTTTTTCTCACAGACGGGGCCCTACTGACCCTATTATAACAAAATCAAAAACAAACAATGCGCATGCGCGAAATTACAAATTATTATACATTTGTAATTGTGACAATTTGCCCATCGCACCCTGTTTGTTATGGCGAATTTGATTTATCCTTGTGTATATGTATATATATATATATATATATATATATATATATATATATATATATATGTATATATATATATATATATATATGCTTTAGTCGAGATTCGAACTCACAGCCTGCTACCTGCTTCATATGCGTTTATGACTTTATTGGGCTGTATATCTCGGCAGGTGTAAATACATTTTATGATCTTTATTCTTTTTTTCTTACCTTGACAAGTGTATATTTAATACTCTCTCTTAATCTCTCTCTCTCTCTCTCTCTCATATATATATATATATATATATATATATATATATATATATATATAAAATTATTGGCTTTGTTTAAACTTGACTGACTGAGAAGATGTTATTTTCGCTATTTCATTTTTTTTTCTTTTTTGGCTTTGTTGAAGTCTTCTTGTTTTTAATTTAATGGTGTGTATTGGGGTTTCATTGTGGGTGATAGGTAGACGGGGAAACGAGGGTATGTCATTGTAGGGGATAGGTTCGAGGATGGCTAGTCAGAAAGGATTATCCCCTGACTGATTAGTTTATTTATCCGCCGCTAGACGTGCAGTGATTAGAGGGAGACAGCTAAGTCGCAAAAAGATGCTTATTATGTAAACACATTTGCTTATAATGGACCAAAGGAGTAACGGAAGCGGACAGAGAGTAGCTGGGGTGGGTAGAACAACTAAACGTCAACACAGACAAGATGGTGAGGAATAAAAAGAAGGGAGTATAAGAGAAAAAAAGGAAAGGAAAAAGACTTGTGTCATAGTGAATAAAGTGGCGGGAAAAATCAAGGGTATAATCACTCATTGAAGAAAGGGAGATTACTGTATTCTTTTTCATCTTTTATATCTGCCATTTTTTTTTTTCATTTTTTTTCTATTTCTTTTCGTGTTGTTTATGTTTAAGTATTTATCACTTTTTTTCCTGGTTCATTTGTTCTTCTGTATATTTTATTTTTATTCTGGTTTCTTTTTTTCTATCTTTTTTAAAAATATTATTTTCCTTCTATCTAGATTTTGTCTTTTTCTTAAGACTTACATGATTTCCTTTTCTTTCTTTGGTTTTCTTTATCTCTTCTCTTTTTCTCTTCTTATCTTTTTTTGACCTTTCTTTTACTTTGATTTCTTAACGTTTCCTTATTTTCTTTCTCGACGTCGTATCTGTTTTTTTTTCACCCTTCCGTTTTAAAATATTTCTTTCTACTTTCTTATTTATATACTTTTCTCTTTCTTTTTCCCTTTTCCTATGATCTTCTGTCTTTTTTCACTTTTGCCGATAAATTTACTTTATATATATATATATATATATATATATATATATATATATATATATATATATATATATATATACTCTCTTTCTTTTTTTTTTATTTATTTTTCGCTTTTCTTCTGAGTTGGTTTCTTTCTTTTTTTCTAAACTTTTCTCTTTTTTTTCTTTTACATTTTCTATACACCCTTTCGTTTTCTTTGCTTGCTATGTTCACTTTTCTTTTGTCTACTACTCCTTTCTCTGCCATGACCCCCCCTATCACTCGCCATTCACATCCCTGTCCCAACCCCGTCCTACTCTCTACCTTGCCCCACTTTCCTTGTTGTTGCTCAAAACAATTTTCCTATTCAGGATTATATGAATTGTTGGCCGACCTGTCCGATCAATCAATAAGCTTTGACCACTACTGTACCCGAAAATAGCCGGGCCTGATCCAGTGTGACGCGGCGAAAAAGGTTGCCGACGCCGTCTGACCCGGCTCTTCAACTCGACGCGTTTTCTCCCTTCTGCCTCTTGCAGGAACGAAGTGCACACATGTATACACGTACTGACTTGTATACATACCCTCTCTTTCTTTTTCTCCATCACACATACATACATACAGATATACATATATACATATGCATACACATGTTATTCTCGACCCTTCTATCGTAGAGACCTCTGCTAAGCAAATAAGGTGGGAGGAGAGAAAGGGATGGGGGGGTGTTAAAAGAACGAAATTGCAAAAGAATGAAAACAGGAAAGAAAATGTTTATGGAATAAAAAACGAAGAAAACAAAATCCAAATCCAAACAAGAAACTAAAAGGAAGAAAAAGAAGTGTGTGTGTGTGTGGGGGGGATAAAATAAACGCTGATGAGCCAGGGATGGGGAAAGACAATTAGAACATTAAGAGAGAGAAAGGGTAAAAACGATAGAACAAAAATAGCCGAATAAGTAAATGCTTTTAGAAAGAAAAAATAGATGATGAATAAAAAGAAATCAAAATAAAAAAAAGAGAGAGAAAGAGGGAAAGAAGAACATTTTAGAAATGTTAAACACGAAGGCAGCCTTGGGGTCAAAGAAATTTTTAAAAATGTTTAAAAAAAAAAAAAATGACAGAGCAGAAATAACACGGAAACTTAAAAATAAATATCGAGTGAAATAAATTTTCTTGAATGTAAGAATAAAAATGAGAAATAAATAAATAAATGATGACGTCAATGGAAAATTAGAAATGAAAGAGAAGAAAGGTATAATTCTTGAAAAGATCAGCGAGAATAAGGTAAAAAATGGTTGGGAAGAAGGAAAGAAAAAAAATGAAGACAAAAAGAAACGGAAAGAAATCCGAAAAATAAAACAAAGAAGAAATAATGTAAGAAAAAAAAAGAAAAGAAAAAATACGGAAAGAAGAAAAGTTGAAACAAAGGGGAAAAATGAAAAGCAGAAGAGGTGAAAGAAAGAAAGAAAGAAAGAAAGAAAGAAAGAAAGAAAGAAAGAAAGAAAGAAAGAAAGAAAGAAAGAAAGGACGAAACGTGTGACGTCAATAATGAACGAAATACGAACCAAGGAAGAGATAAAAAAGAACAGAATAGAATGGAAAACTGAAAAAAAGTGAAAGAAATAAGAGAGGAATTAAAAGAGTAAGGGGTGACAAGGAAGCCAACACTCCTAAAAAAGGAAAAAAAAGAAAATCAAAACTAGTAAAAGAAAAAGGTTGAAAATTGACGAGGATCAGATGAGACAGAGTAAAGTCCTGAGCCTTGACCTCCCCTGTGACATTGAACAAGAATTGTTGCTGAGGGCCACAGTTGTATGGCATTTGAGAAACGAAGAGGGACCAAGGTGAGAAGAATAAAAATATGATAAATGCTGAAATAGAACCGAACCAAGGAATAAAATATATATATATATATATATATATATATATATATATATATAATGAACATCCTTTCTGATGTCATGATATATTACTCTTGCTTTTTGTAACAGATCAAGTCAAGTTTAACAAAGCAAATATCAATGCATTTTCACTTATTCTTCAAAGCAGTTGGGGTATTATTTACCTGAAAGTTAAAGATATCTTATAGAGAATGAACGTCTGAATAAAAAGATAAGTGTTTAACGTTTGCGTGTAAATGACGTTTTATGTTAAATATTCCTGATGTCTTCAAAAGTTTTATACTGTTATAAACTGATGAACTATGTAGACATTTTTGTGCATATATTTTCAGTCAACGAAAAAAAAAGTATTGCACATTTAAAAGAGGTTGTTTAATTGATGATTATTATAACATGTACTCCTTATTATGTATTTAAGTCACAGTTTGATTTAATTAAATCGATCTATTCCCTGTGGCGAATGACAAGACTGACGAAAGAACCTTTGGGCGATTCAGGTTTTATTCAACTCAAAACTACACACAAGGTGTAAACAAAGATGGCGACTTTTAAAAACTTTTCTATGAAGGGGAAATAATCCCTTAATAAGGGCAGACAACTATAATAATAATATTATTTTACCACAATCACCGCCGTTCCGGAAAAGAAAATGGGTGTAATGCATTGTGATAAAATATACAAATGAATAAAATTGTGTCCTTAAAGGACTAAGTGAGTGGGGGTGGGTTTGTAATTCGACTAGAGCGACGCAGCATTTGTCCATTCGTAGAATCGTTCATAGTTGAATGGACAGTTCACTGACACTGTCTTTAGGGGACTGGCTGGGTTGATATTGGTAATTCCATGGGACTGTCAACCTGTGGTAAATCAGCAAGGCTGCTGTCCCCAGTTCCTTTTGGGGGTAGATGTTTAAGTGAGACAGTAGCCTCGCTACTATCTAATTTCTTGATGTGGGAATACTGTGGCTTTGCTTCTGGGAAGTTCCACCTCATCGAGCAATGGTTCAT